AGCATTTCTCCGGGGGCGTTCGAGACCAGTTTTGAATAGTCTGCCGTGGTTTCGTCCATTTCAAAGAGCTTGGCGCTCGGCGTAACCTTGGCGCACTGCCACTCCAACATCCAATCCCAGAGCTTGAAGATTAATCACGGGTTTTGTCAACGGGACTTTAGTCCCAAACGATAGCTGGGGATTATGGGTAGTGTAGTGTCTTCGGCCATCCTAAACTGCATTTTTTTTCGGATATCATATCGCATTAACAACACCACATCTGGCGTCACAGAGATCTTCTGTTACTGTCCTTTCTTCTTAGAGGAAGTACAGAAACACGTAACTCTGGCGTTGTTTTAATGTTTGAGGTGCAATAAACGACACAGCAGCTTTTTGGCATGTTAAAAACTATTATTTTCTGACTCACTCATGAGAGTAACAGCTGGCGAAATTACAGCCTCGCCTACTGATTTCAAATGTGTGCTCTAAAATGATATTTATAAATGACTATTATCATTATTATAAGCAAGACAATAAATGGCAAAGATATGTAGAAAATAAACGTATTTAAGATACGTTCATAACAAACGTAACGTGGGAGAAAATAAGTTTCTAGCTAAACGTAATTGAGAATGCAGTTTAGTTCTGTGGGAACGTAATTTTTAGGAGACAGGGTTGCCATAATACATTCTGACAAAAAATTCAAATTATTATGAATACAAATGAAATAAAAGAAGCCTCCCGTGAGGCTACAAGCTATAAAGTAGATTTTAAAAACGTTTTATAGAATAAAAAGCTCACTGCAGGACGTTGTAGAAATGCATGTGAGCACCACGACAAAGGAGCCACGACAAAGGAGCCTCATTCACTTTACATTGGCGTTGTTTGCGTGGTGCAGACACGTAAATGTAGCAAAGTTCGTGACTCCACCACGCAATGCGGTGTTAAGGAGTCGTGGTGGAGTCACGCATTCTGGTGAGATCAGGTTGGCTCAACACAATTTACTAAACTCAGAGAAATGTTTCAGTACTTTGTGTGTATTTTCCCCAAAATTACTAGCAAACTACACAGTTGTTTCCTGAACGCTTCCACGGGCATTTTAATGAAATAATATATTTTTTTAATGTCTCATTTTATGAATATTTGCCAGAGTAAGCTTTTACAACATCATAGGAATTGGTACCCCTTTTCCACGGGGCAGTTGGGCGGCCAGTTTGGAACAGGAGCCCAATGAAGAACCAGTTGTTGTTTGTGTTTCCGCTGCAACTGTGCTTGCTTTCTGCCCTGACAACTGGTTGTTGATCTAGCTTTGAAAAATGTAATAGCAGCATAGGCACCCCTCCAACATAGTCCGCCATTTTTCTCATCGTAATGGATATTCACACTAGTATTGCAATGATGTAAACGTGTTTTCATGACGTGGCTCCTTTTGGACTCTGGTGGAAAAGCAAACTGGTTCTTAAGTGGGTCGCAAGCAGAGATGGGGTCGTTACTCAAAAAAAGTAATATATTACATATTAATAAAAAAAAAAAGCAATATATAACACGTTACTTTACTGGCAGGGCCGCCCCTCCCTACAGGCAGATCACGCAGACTGCGGAGGGTGCTTCATTTTGCGGAGGGAGCCTCATCTGGGGCCGTTTGCGATTTATAAAATACTAACTTGACGGGAAAATGTACGGTCCTCCACGCAAACTCTAACCCATGCTTACACACTAAGCGCAAAAAGGAAGAATGGAGAGAAATATGTGGAAATAATACCATAAATAAAATGTTACCTCTCATTTATCATATATGAAGAATTCATTTTCACAAAAAGCCAATCTTAAAATGATTAAACAAACGCCTGTTTGAGACTCCTCAGTGCACACAAAAACATAACTTGGAGAAATACATAAATACGGATATGTTATTTAAAACCACCTCGAATATGTTGTCTTAATGTTATGAAATGTTTTCTCATAAATGATGCGGTAAGCAGAAGGACAGAATTACGTCTAAACTGACGCCGTGTTGCATTTCTATAGGTTGTAGATACGAGCATGGTTTTATATACTCATGTTTAATCGTGTTTTATGCCGTTTGCCAAGACTTGATAACTCGCTCGTAAAACACAGGAGGTATGGAAGCTAAGAACACCATATGTGGTCAATTGTACAGCTGATATAACACAACACATTAGTTGTATTTCCTTTAACTGGTAGATTATGGATATATAGTTGCTGATCGAAAGCTGGAACACAAACCACCAAATACAAAAACATAATTCAGATCCAGTCGTCATGACTCCACTCCGGAGGGATTCCCCGATCATTTCTTACAGTTTCTCATCAAGGGGGGGTCTCCTGTCCCCGGTACAAACACACTGCCTGAGGAAGGCTATGTGTATTGTTTTTGTCATTAACCTTTTTCGGACCACTTATTTATTTATTTTGGTGACGATCCGACGTCCATGCTGCTACTCTGGTTCAAACTGCATCCACCAAACAATATGATTTATCTCCACCTCCCCAAAATAACCTAAATCTGACACGGTGTGAGATGTCTTTTTTAGCTGTTCTGTCGTCATTTCCTGCGATCTTCTTCATAAAGTCAGTCAAAATGAATGAATGAATGGGCGTTTCTTTGACTATTTATAGGCAAATATGGGCGTTACGTGAAGCCCGAAAAAGGTGGGCCGCATTTCGAGTTGATTGTGATTTATAACGGGAAACAGGTGTAGGAAGTGCCGTACGCACTTCCCTCGCTGGTGCGCAATGTTTGGTGAATCGGAAAATGTCGGAACATTTCTGTACCTATTTTTTTGCTTTTTACTACGTAAGCAACCTTCCCACGTGAATCATATGCAAGGCGTTATAAATGAGGCCCCTGAAGCGCAAATACGGCGCAACTTACTCGTTACTTTACTCGACATCCTCACTCTGGATTCGAAGGTCCTCCTTAGCTATTAGCTTCACGTTAGCATGTTGCAGGTGCTTGTTAAGGTTTGACGTTGTGTTTGCAGCAGTGGATAAAAGCTTCTGGCCTGAACACACTTTGCACCTCACCGTTACATTCCTGTCCTTTCTTCGGACGAACTCAAAATAATGGGCATACCTCCACCCAGGGCCGGACTGGGACAATACGTCAGGCCGGGAATTATACACCCAGCCAGGCCACTACCAGTTTTCTTTTGTGCCATTTTCCTGGATTTATTTGTCAATATTTACAGCGTTGCTGCCCATAGTGATAGCCCTAAACTTTAAATCTACTACCCCAGAATAAACATATGGACATGGGTTACTATTTCAATTTTTTTTGCAAATCTATTTAGGAACCTATCCATGTGAACATATTTTAAGTGGAGATGGACTTCAATTCCTCTAGGGGGGTCCGGGGGCATTCATTTATAGTTGTGAGTGTGTCTGTGCTCCTGAACCAGCCTCACTCGTCTCCCCCTCTCCCCCTGCTCCTCTTTGAGGCAGCAGCAAAGACTAGTTTTAGCTCTCAACAAGTTTTTAAAGTTTATCTTACCTTTTTTCACCTAGTTAATTTTTTTAAATTATTATTCATGCATATTTTACTAATCACTCCCCTTTCAAATGGAAATATGTGTTTACATAAATGGTGACCAAACCGTTTGAGACCCACTGAGATAACTCAGACTAAGTTAACTATCTAAACACTCAGAGTCCTTTACCTCACCTGAGCTGTAGTTATCAGTCTCTCAGTCTGACAGGAGAGGACTCTCCTCCACCTTGTTGACAGTCAGCTCATTATATCCATTAGCGCCGCTAGCTAGCACCAGATGCTAACAACAACAATACACGTAACCGGTGCGCGCGCTTTCTCTCTCGCACGCTCGCGCCCGCCACACATACACACCCTCCCGAGCTTGAATGAGAGACCAATCGAGGGCTTCAGTGTATGATCTGTATGAAAGTGGCCATGTCGGCAGGCCACATCATGTAGACAGCCAGTCACCTAGTTATTTAAAAAAAATTATTATTCATGCATATTTTACTAATCACTCCCCCTTCAAATGGAAATATGTGTTTACATAAATGGTGACCAAACCGTTTGAGACCCACAGAGATAACTCAGACTAAGTTAACTATCTAAACACTCAAGAGTCCTTTACCTCACCTGAGCTGTAGTTATCAGTCTCTCAGTCTGACAGGAGAGGACTCTCCTCCACCTTGTTGACAGTCAGCTCATTATATCCATTAGCGCCGCTAGCTAGCACCAGATGCTAACAACAACAAAACACGTAATCGGTGCGCGCGCTTTCTCTCTCGCACGCTCACGCCCGCCACACATACACACCCTCCCGAGCTTGAATGAGAGACCAATCGAGGGCTTTAGTGTATGATCTGTATGAAAGTGGCCATGTCGGCAGGCCACATCATGTAGACAGCCAGTCACCCTCTGTGAGGCAGAGTCTGACCCACATTTGCGCAGCGTTGCGTTCACAATACATACATAAAAAAAAAAAAATCCTCAGGCCAGCAGGTCACTTAACAGGCCAGGCCATCGGGAAACCTCCCGGTCCTCCCGATGGCCAGTCCGGGCCTGCCTCCACCCCTCGAAAGTTATCGCTGTTGACTCACGCCATGTTTATGCACTGCATGTCGCGCAAATCTTACGTAAATATAAACCTGTGGCGTAAATCCCTCTTGTCTGTCAAAGGGAGAATCTAGTCATTCTGTATGTTAGTAGGCTAACTGTAGTGTGATTACTGATTTTATAAAAGTAACGAAGTAACGTGTGTCGGGCAATGTTAGTAACTGTAGTGTGATTACTGAATTAACGCGTGTGTGATTACTGAATTAACTTTGTAACGCAGAAGCCCCAGCTGCTAGAATACTAGAACGTAGTACCATTTCAGTAGAAAGAAAAAGGGGTATCACTGACCACTTTCCCTTACAAGAACCTCAAGCCCTCCAGTTGATTGTCATAAGACATCCAAACTTCTCTTTCCAGAAGAAGTGTAAGTGAAAGGTTAGAGGGTAAACAGAGTATAAATGTGTGTGTATCTCACCCCGGACGTCTCTTTCTCCAATATACTGGTGGTTTGGTCCTGGCTGAGTCCTTTGGGCTGCCACACCGAGACACTACCAAGCAGCCGATCTAAAGGACTCAGCAATGGGGGAGTTGAACAGGATGGTGGGACAACAGGGGGAGTTAGACGAGATGAGGAGGATGGAATTGTTGGTGATAATGGATCGAGAAGAGGAGGGGGACAAGGAGTAGGATCAGAGGGTTGGGGAGAAAGGATGGGAGGAGGAGACGCCGGAGTAGGGGAGAGAGGAGGAGGAAGAGATGGGGGAGGAGGGTTGGAGGACAGGGTGGGAGGAGGTTTGGAGATAGGATGGAGAGGAGGAGGAGGAGGTTTGGAGACAGGAGGGAGAGGGGGAGGAAGGGCTGGAGGAGTTGCAGCAGGAGGACAGGAGGACTTGAGGGGAGGCGGGGGTTTGGGTCGACATGGCCGGAGCGGAAGGTTGGATGATGGCAGGGAAGGTGGAGAGAGGGGAGAAGCTGGAGGGATGGAGGCAGGGGAGGGGGTGGGTGGAGAGTCGAGTGGTCCTGTCAGAGGGCTTGTGTGGCTGTAAAGGATAAAAGGGGTAAAGGTCAGGCATAGAAACTTCATGTGGAGGATTTGTTCTTATCTTGTCTTCAGTAAGCTTCCAGAAACTTGAATCTTGTCACCAGGACTCATTCTCTCTGACTTCAGAAACATTGACAGGAGTTGAAGTTTCCCCACTACCAGGAGTCATCTTAATGAATCTGCAGTTCTCATTCATAACACTCCGTTCGATGACTCATTATGGGATGCGCCTCATCGCGGAGCAAACAGAAGCATCAATCTCATTACGCCAATCTTGATTGGCTGGTGATCTTGACGTCAGCGTCAGGGAATTCACCCCCTATAAGTAGCTTGCGCCACGACGCATGCGTCATTCAAACACCTCTTCTCGCTTCAGAGCACATCTCTATAGTAGCCAGACAAGCTTAACGGTCCACAGACTGAACCCAAATATAACCATTTTGGTCGACGGGCACTCGCCGGCTACTCCTTCTGCTTTACAGGAAGACGGTAATACTAACGCCAGTTAGTATTGAAATCGACCTCGCCGGTCTCTTTCCCCGGAAAGTAAGGTAGGTCGGATTTTTTCAAGCTAGCAACACACCTGTTGCTAGCTCGCTCCCTCACTATCGACACCACGGTAGCGAGGAAGCTTTTTCTTTTCTCTTCCCCACGGAGGAGGAAAGGATTAAAGGAGCATACTGTCACACCAGTCAGTATTCTCCGGGAATAAAAGACCCACACCGTCCTTTTCTCCGGATTAAGGACAGGGTGGTAACACCTTTTTTCTCCCAATTTACCTGTTGAGAGCGGGTCCTCTCCACGCCACGAGGCGAACAAGATGGACGCCTCTCTCCCTCACACCAGAGGAGTCAGGGACTCGGTGGCTCGACTCTGCGGCTGCGGGTTGAAGATCTCGGGCACAGACACACACCAGGTCTGCTCGTCCTGCCTCGGGCTGGAACACGCCCGAGGCGCTATCGGCAACAAGGTCCCAATCCACGGTGCCTCCTCCCTAGACTGTGACGGAATGGAGAAGCTCGGCCTGCTCCGCATACCGCCCATGGAACCGCTGGTAGCGGCTAGTGCTGCGTACCTGGACTGACATTCAGGTTCAGGTCCGGACTCAAGTCCAGAGGTTCAGGTTCAGGTCCGGACTTATAAGTCCGGACCTGAACCTGGCTTGTGTCAAGTTGTGTGAGTAACTAAAGTGAACTTATTGTGAGCTAATTATCATAATCAACTCAAATTCAAACTCGTCAGGTTTATTGCGCTCCCTTCCAACTTGTGTCTACATTTCTCTACAAAGTACAAATGTAAAAAAAAAACTTTTTGCCACTAAGTCTACAAATGACTTATGACAGCAACTACAGTGAACTACTACAAAGTTCAAACATTTATTTCATTTACCAAACTAAAGTAACCAAACAGTCCCTGAGCTGACTGAGCCTAAATCCCTAAAACGTTGCTGAAAGGTAGAGTAGACTATACGCATTACACTGTTACACACCTACTATACAGTATACACTGTAGTGACTGTACAGTCAGAGTGTACTGTACTGTCTGTACACCATGTATTTTCTACAACTCTACATGTGTACATTATACAGTACATACTACATACATAGTGATGTACATACATACTGTTAGAAATTAAAATCAATGTTGATATGGCGTAATTTTGAATTAAATACACTATTTAATTTAAATCAGTTTTATTCTGAAAAAACCGGAAGTTCACACTATTAACTTAATACTTTTATTCTGAAAAGTATTCACTTCCGGTTAGCATTAGCATGTGGCGAAATGCTACGTTTTCAAACCGTGAATCGAAGGTAAAATGACATGTGATGTTGTACACTGAGCACACTGGGATTAGCACTCATTGATTGACGCTGAATAACGTTTATCAGGGAATGTTTAAATAACCACAGACACCAGAATATACGTAAGTGCTAGTTTTTTTGTGAGTCCAAGTACCGGTTCCCGACGTTCCGGTTTTAACCGGACTTGAACCGAAACTTTTTACAAGTCCAGTACCGGTTCGGCGTACCGGTACGCAGCACTAGTAGCGGCCCACCTCCTACTGAGGATGGGCCCGTCACCAAGCAGGAACCCCACGCTGCCAGCAAAGTCGGACCGATTTCAGTCGACAATGACTGAACGGTCCTACAAAGCCGCAGCGTTGTCCGCCAGGGCCCTGAATGTGTCCTCGCTGCTAACCGCTTACCAAGCGGAGCTCTGTGAGGACCTGTCGGGTAACCCGGGGGCAGCCACTCTGGACGAGATGGCAGCGGTCACGGACATTTGTCTCCGTGTCCAACGCTGCGCCGTCCAGGCCACGGGCAAGGCAATGGGGATCATGGTGGTGCAGGAAAGAGCGAGATGGCTCAACCTCATCAACCTCCCAGACCGGGAAAAGGAGGATGTGCTGGATATGCCCATCGTTCCCGAGGGAATTTTCGGCTCCGCTCTCGCCTCCATGCAAAGGAGGTGTGAGTCGAAAAAGAAGGAGGACGAGGCACTCCACCTCTGCCTCCCTCGAAGGGTCCAGCCGCTGCCTTCGCAGCAGCAGTCCTTCGCCCAAGCTGCCTCGAACCCTGCTCGGTTTAAAACACCGAAGACGCAGAGGTCGCAGCCCGCCCCGAGTCCCCAGCCCAGGCTGGAGACGAGGGCGAGCTGGCCTAGAAAATCTCCGGTTCCGGCTGCAGCTCAGGCGCAGCCAACCCAGAATTTCGGCCAGCAGTCGAGGAAGAAGAAGCGAGCGGCGTGACAGCCCCTCCTTCTCCCCTCTGTGACAGAGCTGGAAGTCCACGGTTCCCCAGCTCTAAATGTGTTCCCGCCGCCTCGAGAGATGCCTCAACACCATGCTCAAGTCCGCACAAACACATGTCACACATTTGTTGATTTTTGTGTCATAAAACATTTGCCGCTGACGCATCCAGGCTTCAGGCCGAGGGCGCAGCAAAAAAAAAAATGAAAAGAAAAACAATAAAACCAATAAACAGCCCATCAACTCTTCCCCTTCTGAGAGCAGCTACGGCATCTCTCAAAAGGCGGATTAGCCGTCACGCGCATGCGCAGTGCCGGCTGGGGTTGTGAAGGCACCACCGTCATGCGCATGCGCAGTGTCGGTGGGATTGTCGAAAAGGGGCACCACTGTGTTCAGACACTAGAGGGCCCCATAACACAACAAATAGAGACTCAGAGGGGAAGAGACGTGACATCTCCACTGGCACTAAGGAGCATGCAGTGGAAGATGCTCACATCATCTGCTTGGGTTTTCAAGACAGTAACACGGGGCTACAGACTGCAATTCGCTGTCACCCCCCCCTCGCTTCTCGGGCATTCTGCATTCGCAGGCCCGAGGAGAGTCAGCCCATATTCTGGAGAGAGAGATTCTCTCACTCCTAGAAAAGAGGGCTATATCTATTGTACCCGCCGAGCAGAGTCAGGGCGGCTTCTATTCCAAGTACTTCCTCGTTCCCAAACGGGGAGGGAACGGAATTCGGCCAATACTTGATATGAGGGCTCTGAACAAATATCTAAAAAGATATTCAGAATGATCACTCGCACATCTCTGCTGCGGCTCGTGCGACAAGACGACTGGTTTACATCAGTCGACCTGAAAGATGCGTATTTTCACATCCCAGTATATTACCCACACAGGAAATATCTGAGATTCGCATTTCAGGGGATCTGTTATGAATACAGAGTACTCCCCTTCGGTCTGTCTCTCAGTCCAAGGGTGTTTGTACGATGTACGGAAGCCGCGATAGCCCCGTTAAGACAACAGGGTATTCGCCTGGCGACCTGGACGACTGGCTGCTTCTCGCACAGTCGGAGCAGGAGGCTGTTACGCAGACAAATGTCCTCGTAAAGCACCTGCTCAACCTGGGTTTCATAATAAACACAGAGAAGAGCATGTTGTGCCCCGCGCAGACTATACTCTTCCTGGGTTTACGCCTGAACTCGGTGCCCTTTTCAGCTCGCTTGTCAGCGGAAAGAGTGAAAGCTTTCAGAGCTTGTCTCGCTCTTTTCCAACCACGCAAATATGTTCTCTTCAGATCATGCCTGCGATTGCTGGGGCACATGGCGTCAGCCATCCTGATCGTACGACTGGGACGCTTACACATGAGGGAGTTTCAGCGCTGGGTGATGGTTACTGTGAAATGCGTAATGGCACTGCGCCACTGGCTGCACCCGACTTTTCTAGTACGAGGTGTGCCTATGGGTGCTGTCCTTTCACGGAAAGTGGTCACCACGGACGCATGTCTGACAGGTTGGGGAGGTATTTATGAAGGTTGCCCGGTGAGGGGTCTCTGGAGCAGAGACCTCCAGCGGGCGCACATAAATTACCTGGAGCTTTTAGCGGTGTTTCTCACCCTAAAACGCTTTCTGCCTTTCCTCAGGGGACATCACGTCCTCGTGAGGACAGACAATACGACCACAATATCGTATATTAACCGCCAAGGGGGTTTGCGTTCTCTCCAGTTACACACACTGGCGCGCAAACTGATCCTATGGAGCGGTAGACGTCTCCTCTCTCTGAGAGCGACGCACGTACCGGGAGTGATGAACCTCGGGGCAGATCTACTGTCCAGAGGTATACCACTTTATGCAGACTGGACTCTACATCCAAGGATTGTGAGCCAGCTGTGGGTGCGTTACGGCAGAGCCGCGGTGGATCTGTTCGCATCGAAAGACAACGCTCAGTGTCAGCTGTTCTTTTCGATGCGCGATCTAAATGCACAGTTAGGCGTGGATGCACTCGCGCACGATTGGCCCCCGGGCCTTCTGTACGCATTCCCACCCCTGGCTCTGATACCCCCAACTCTGGCCAGAGTGAGAGAGCAACGCCACACACTTATCCTGATAGCTCCGCACTGGCCAGCTATGTACTGGCTAGCGGAGATATATCAGCTGCTGTGCGGGCAGCCATGGCAGCTCCCACTACGCAGGGACATACTGTCCCAAGCGGGGGGGGCGATCTTTCACCCACACCCAGAGCGCTTGGCTCTATGGGCCTGGCCCGTGAGTGGTACAATCTGAATACAGTGTGACATGAAGCTGACCCTGGCAGCTGCCAAGCGAGCCAGTGGCACTCATGCACTATCTGTACAGTCTTCATGCACTCAGTTCGCCCCAGGGCAAACAGAGTGTGGTTGAAGCCCAACCCTGCCTTTATCTTAAGGCGGTTGGTTCAGGTACCACATTTGACATTGAGGCATCCTCCCCGCCACTGTATTCCTCCGGGGAACAGCGGCCGGATTTGCCGTGTCTAGCCCGTGCTTTACGCACGTACAGGGACAGATCAAGGGTGCTTCGTCATAATGACCAACCCCTTGTGTCCTGGGCTAACCCTTATAAGGGCAAGCCTGTTACTAAGCAACGGCTCTCCCACTGGTTTGTGGAAGCAATTGCTTTGGGGCCCATACGAGTCAGAGTTCGCAGGCACCCTCGGGTCCGCGAGCTCTTTCGACCCAGGGTCTGGCTGCATCCTGGGCTCTGTCCAGGATGTCTCCCATCCAAGACATTGGTGCAGCAGCGAGCTGGTCCCCGCCGCTCACTTTTGTCCGCCTCTTAACAGGCTGGACGTTCTGCTCCCAGTGTGACTCAAGCAGTGCTGGGCACCTGGTTGAGTCAGAGCTCTACCTGTGAAGTTCTGGTTGGTTTGGTGATTTTCGAGATAAGCTCGTCTGACAATACGGGAGCTACAATTTCCCATAGTAAGACATCGAACGGAGTGTTATGAATGAGAACTAAAGGTTACTTACGTAACCCCAGTTCTCAGAGTAACATGAAGTGAGATGTCTCACCAGACGGCCCTCCTTGCTATGGTGAAGCGAGAAGAGGTGCTTATTTTGAATGACGCATGCGTCGTGGCGCAAGCTACTTATAGGGGGTGAATTCCCTGACGCTGACGTCAAGATCACCAGCCAATCAGGATTGGCGTAATGAGATTGATGCTTCTGTTTGCTCCGCGATGAGGCGCATCCCATAGTGAGACATCTCACTTCATGTTACTCTGAGAACTGGGGTTACGTAAGTAACCTATAGTTTTGTATTGCATTATGGTACGAAAAAGAAAAACTCTGCTTTTGCATTACAGTCACATTTAGCTAGCATAAGCTTAAAGAGTAAAGCTCATGTTATTCTATATCATTTTTATTATCTCCAATAGAGTGAAGCACTGATGACGTTTATTCTGGAAGTTAGCATTGCAAGGAAATCCTCGACAAAAAGCCAATGGGATTTTTCCATTGGTTTTGGTGTATTGCAGAAAATAAGCTATGTGGCAAACACGCGTTTATGGATAATCTCCACATATTAACACCACTTTGTGATTTTTAAGCATAAAAGTAATCGCCCGACTGAGTGGGGTATTACTGACAATAAAAATCACTTAAGCTTGTTGTACACCAGAGATACTAACATAAGAATTTCACCAAAAACAAGTTCAAAATAACACTGACTTTGAGACGAGGGTTCGTAGGTGGTAAAATGCTGACTCATTTTAGGGTTTCTTATTTTCTGCATTACTCCGAAAAGCACTCTTTTACACCCTTGTGATGCTAACTTTTGGGCTGGCCTTTGGAAATACTGTACATAATCACAATACCACTCAATCACAAGACAACATCCATTTATATCCTTATTTCTGTCTGTTAGCGTTAATTATTCCAATGATTTATCCTTTTGTAGCGATATCAGCATTGGGGATGTTAGCATGTCAACATTTAAATTAGCTAGCTAGTAATATGTATTATTTCAATAATAATGTATTCATTTTAGGGGTATATTTAGGGGTATACATTATTAAATTAAACTCTTAAAATGTATGACAGACAGATTTTAAAATTGATTGATTCGAATGGATGCAACAGAATAAGATAATACATTTGCCCGATACACGTCACATATATCAAATATATGTCAAGCGCCTTTTTAACGATAATTCATGATCTGTTTAAAAACAAGAACAAATACCATTAAACTCTCTGTACCTTCACATTGCATAATCTGTTGAATCACTTTCACTATACTTGGATTAGTGGCTGTTTTTGTCTCTTGTCCTAATATCTGCTCTTCAAACACAATGGTCCAACACTAGGAGTGGAGAAAGGGTTAACATAGTGATCGTCAGAGGAAGCAGTGTGGTTTGTTGAGTGGGGAAAAGGTAGTCTTAACCTTGAGCTATAACTTTATCTGCACGATATAGATGCTACAATAGAAATAGTTTGATGATTATTTCATACTGCTGCAGCCATGACTTTTGCTACAGTCCCACTCACACATAACAGCAACTAACTACTTTGGCCTTCAGATGGCAGAGACCACCACTTTGTTTAGCTCAGAAATAAGACACATTCTATGTCTGTTTCACCCTTAAGCTAGTTTCATGTAGCTGTAACCAGCACTGCATTCAGTACTACAGCATGTTGATCTTAACTTTAACATTGAGCCAGATGAGATGCTGTGTGCATTTTGTACAAAATACTGATTTTAAATAAGAACAAGTGTGACCATATCAATCTAATTTTAGATTTGCTTCAGTGGCGTCCAGTGCTGTTGAGTACTGACTTCCCCTTTTGTTAGCTTTGGGTAGCTAGCTAAACACAAGTTGGGGTAGATATTTGCAAGTGGTGTTGCATCACTAGCGTAGAAAGCTGTTACTATGCCTGAGCTTCTGTCATATATTATTTACTCACAGCGGATCCTTGTGATGAGCAGGAGAAAAAGTACCTTATTGTCTAGATCTCCCACTTTCAATCCCATGATCAATGTGGGCCCTAATAGCCTGCAGCTAACCACTTGTATGAAACATAGATGAGAGGAAAAACCCGTAACTAGTGTTACTGTATATGGACCAAATGTTAAGAGGTGTTGAAACAAGTTAGACCTAATCTACCTGTTATGTCAAATTTAACCCGTTTCAAATTATTTTTATGTTGGAATAAGGGGTTATTTGATCTAATTTCCATAAAAATAACATGGATGGTTCCATCCTCACATGAAAAATGAATGATCACTACTTTCATTGAAATATGGGTGTTATATATGAATTTATAGCATCTGTGATCAACAGGTGTCATTATGCTCTGGTATTGGAAAACATTTAATAATTTTAAAACTATGTTCTTAACTATGATATAGAACAGTCTGTAATAGTTAGGTCTTTTGATCATATATTATAATATAATTAAGTTGGCAAAAAAAACATGAGGAAAATAGTTGCACAGTTGATGGACACACAAGGGTTAAAAAAAACAAAAAACCCTCCTAATTATTTATATAATTTGGATGAAAAAACCCTCTACATTTGTTATTCCAAGAACAGATATAGGGTTAAGCGTTATGATCTGTCCATTTTTTACCAGTTATTACTTGAACAACTGAAAATCTTTAATCCTTTTCGGCTACAGAACCCAGTTCTGAGTGAGATCATTTCTCTATGAATTTGAAGGCATATCTGGCAAATGAGGAAATCACATGTCTACAACCCCATCGCCACCCCCCCATCCCCTTACGCACGACATGCTCATTCACAGGAAGGACAGAATAACCATGAGGTCAGCTAATCTTCTGAGGAACAACAGCATGTTGTCAGCACAGTCATTTTAAAACATCATTTGTTTGACTTTATATTTGCTATCGTTAGGTGACATCATACGCTCATATTAACAACATTTTTAGAAATAATATATATTGACATTGTTACGTTGGTTCAAAAAGCAGTTGTCTTAATTGTGTGACTTGCTGTCCTTAGAATAACACACCATCACTTTGTAGAGGGGTGGAAAGGAAATAAGAACATTTAGTCTATTTAAAGTAATGTAAGTAAACATTCATGATACAGTAGTTGTACTTGAGTTTTTCCATTCAACTTTATATTCCTACTGCACTACCTATTTTTAGTTTACTTCACTCCATTCTATTGATTTATTTGGCAGTTTTAGATGCTAGTTACTTTCAGGACTAATTACAAAATATGATGGTTATAGATAACTCCATTAAAAGGCTATAATAGGCTCCACCTCGAGCTACTACAACAATAACACAGAGGATGAATAATAATTCAGTAAACAAATATATCATTAGTATAACACTGAAAGATACATTGCAGGAATAATTACATTTAGCTGATAAGACTAAAGTACTTTTACTTAAGTCACATTTCTAATGCACTACTTATAATGGAGTATTTATATACTGCAGTACTGATATTAAGCAGGGATCTGCATAACTCATTCCCTGATTTTGCTGACCTAACATGACCTTAGGGATAGTCGCAGTCTCATGGAGTCATTTAACCAAAAACATGAAAACATCCTAATCTATTACCTAATCTATATAATCCCAAAGTATAAATATATATTGTAAATCCTATAAAGGAGAAATATGACTTCTTCAACAAATGCAGCAGCCTCAACATTTGAACGGACACAAAGTGCAACTTTAAAAAGGATCCCACTGTAAACAACGTCATCACTCATACGGTAAAGTGTGAAGTTGATGTGGGTGAGGGTGGCTGTGTACATTTAAAATTAAACAAATAGCAATATCCCCACATTCGATATAACGGTCTGATCTGCTTTTTTCCAGTGGTTAGCGTCAACTTTCAACCACTGACATTCTTCCATACAATAAGTGGTTTAAAGATACTCAAATTAAAGCATTTCTGTAACAAAACCAGAATGTTGTTACAATTCCTGTATTATAAACCTGATTTGACAAAACCCCGTAAAATCAGGATGTAGTATTTAAAAAGCTCTTATGGGCTATTGACCTAAATATTATCTGGTGAGTCATCACATCTGTTTTCCTGCTTTGGCTGTGTAACTTTCAACCCCCAACTCCCTCTCCGAACTCCCACCTACACCCCCCCCCCCCCCTCTGTCCCAACAGACTATATCCTTGCATTGTCACACAGCTTTATCACAGACCCCACACACACTCACCCTGTGTCCGTGGAAACTACGCTGGCTTCCATCATATTTCCACAGTTTGAGTTTTGGACTGCTCTCTTTTACTATGTCTCTCTATGAGCTCCATTGAAAACTCCGCCTTTTTCTCAACTCCCCCCTTTTTTTCCTCCCCTCTGTTGATCGCTGCAGGACTGAATAAGGGAAAACTAAAAGGCAAAGGGAAAATGTGTTTCTCTGTGCGCCCTCCCCTCTGCTTCTCTGTCGACTTCCTGAGTTGATCATTAGGCAGGAAGAGGCTGAACACTTTGGTCAGACTTCCCCTGCTCTCAGTCTTTTTTAGTCTATGACATACTCTCTAACTTCTGTCTCATGTCATCTTCCTTTCAGTCTAGTGTTCTCTTACTCGAGCAGTACAGTTACAGATCATGCTTATTATTTATCATATCTTCTCATATTAACAGGCTTTTTAATCTCAAAAGAACCTCGTAGAAATACGACCCTGCTCAAATTCTGCACATGTGGCCTAAATATTCAGCAGATTCTCCATTAGCCTCCTCCTCTCCTTCCTTCTCCCCTCCCTTCTCCTCTAAAGTTTTCCAGATGCCCCACCTTCCAACTGTGGAATGCACAACCTCATGTCCCCCCCCCCACCCTTTTTTCCCTCTTTTCTGCCTGCCTCTTCACACCTCCCCCTTTATGTACTCTATAAAAGCTTAAGTTACTCTCTGACTGATTGTTGTTGAGTAGCTTTCAGTGTAAAGTCCATGCACTTTCAGAGGGTGGTTTTCTATCCAATCAACAACCCTAACCCTAAAAACAGGAAGCAGTGTTTATGTTTTTCGCTCTGCTGATCTGGAATGAACTTCCAGAACATCTGCCCTGATTGGTTTAAATCGAGGCTAATTTTTTTTGTTTAATCATGCCTTTCCAGAGGTCATTTAACAACATTTTGTCATTATACCTCTTCACCTCTTGCAGCATCAACTGTATTGACACTTGACTTATTACAACTATATTCAATGTCTTTAATGAATTGTCCTTTTTTCTTGTATAGGTCATGCCTTTGTAAGGCACTGCATTTGTCGTTGAAATGTGCTACATCAATAAACTAACCTAAATTGAAGTTGACTAAAAGCACAACATATTGATGTTTCTCACAAACTCAGTACAATGTTTCAGTTTAAAAAGCAGGGTCTAAGGTCTCCCTTTGGTTAATTTACCATTTACCTTTGCATTTCTGTAAAACCCACAGACACTTAAGTGCACGCACACATACACACACACACACACACACCACACACACACACACACACACACACACACACACACACACACACACACACACACACACACACACACACACACACACACACACACACACACACACACACACCCACACACACACACACACACACACACACACACATGCTTTCACAGTTCAGCCAAGTGTGATGACTGCAGCTGCTTCCTGTTTAAACATGGGTGGTGATATGTACATGCTTTTATTCTGCAAACCCCACTCTGCTCAGCCGAACATGCATACAAGTTTTCAACAGCAGTGAGCCACCACTCGAGGGAGCTATGATACAGAGCATTACACACCATAGATACAGTAACCATGGAGTTGGACACGTTTAGAACAAAGCCCATTGAACACTATGAAACATGGTCAGTGCTATTCTGGGCACTGTTTCATACTTATACTAAACCCTCCAGGGGGGACTTGAATTATTAAAATATCACTGTGCCTCACACTTGTTCACATGCTCATCTATACTGCCTCTTTATTTTCTGTGTAGCCAAAATAAATCTTAATTAAAGTTGTATTAATTGGTGTTTATGGGGCAGGGACATTTTACACAGGCATACAAGTTGCAATGTATAGTACTGAGGATCTCCTTAAAAGAAATAGAGGGCAGCATTTCACCTCTACCGGGTCGAAACACTTACATTTACCCAAAAAAGGCTACTACTAACTAACAGCCGCTCAAGAACATTTTCAATTTCACCAAAGTGATAAAACTCTGATAACCAAAATAACACTGTTTCCTATAATTTTCATGTGGTGTCAGCCTGTACTTTATGTTACCCATCTGTACATACTACAGTGGTACAGGAATGAGTCCCAAACTCGGAAATTAGTAAGCATTATTGCATTTCAGGTTGCCTTGTCTCAAAGTCAATGGGTTTTTGAATCAGTTTATGCTTGGATGCCTAAAATAAAATCGATGGTAAACACAAGATTACAAGATGTTCTCGTTTTGTTCTAGAAATGTAAATACGTGAGTAAATACCAAGCTGGTGAATGTCTGAAGCATCTATGTGTCTTAAAAACACAATTGCTAACTAAGTGGCTAACTGAGACTGCTAAAAGTCGTCATGAACATTAGCCACATTTAGCTTAGCGGCGTATTTATTTAGTTTATAGCTTCAACGTTAGCTTTTTATTTCTGGCGATTGCATTTACGCTTCAGAAATCAGAAAAGTGGTGTTATTATGTGGAGATTAACTTCCTGACCAAAACACGTACATTTTATTTTCTGCAATGTTCCAAAACTCAATGGAAAAATCCCATTTCTTTATTTTAAGTTTTTTATTTAACGGGTCAACCGACAAAAATATGTCACTCTTTAGATAAAAGTATTTTAACTAATTTTTTCACATTGTGACCGTACCGTGAAGTTAATTAACTTACATTTTAAGTCGTATCTTACACATTGCATCTTTTTGTTATCCAACAAACCTTAACATTACATTATGACAAGGTTGACAGTATTATTATCACACTATTCCAGTGTTTATGTTAATCGTGTGAGCATACAGTTGCCTACAGTATGTCCATATCCAGCAGATAAGCATTCATTTGGAATTCTTTTTTTATACCTGATAAAACAAGTATAATATTTATCTTCTTTTAGCACTGGTTTGGTCAGAAAATGATCCATCGCCTAACTGGTAACCCGACTTGTGTTTAGTACTGGGCTGTGGATTGGTTTTATTGGGGCCTTTATTGCTGAAAACACTTATCAGAAATCAGGTTGATGAGAGGTGTGTTTGTGGGTTGAAAAACCAAAACAACGAGTCAAAAGACACTAAAATGCTCTGTAGAGCTGAGGGGAACTACAGAGTAGAGTGATACTTATCTGGGCGTTTATCATTACAAAGAACCCTGTTTACATAAATTGTATCCATTTGTAATTTTGCTGGTGCACCTGTAAAGGTATTCAATGACTGTATTTGATCAGCCAGTTTAGCAGGTTTGTTGATCCATAAGAGTCTTCACAGAATAAGTGGGTGCAACATTGAAAATAACCTTTAATTGTGTTCCCCTATAGTATACAGTTCCTGTTCTATATTTCAATAGACATTTCATAAAGCCGCTCTACTTGGCAAGCTCACTGCACTTACTGTGAAAATGTGATTGGTGGTATTTGTGTCAGATACAGGCCACCATATGCTGTGCCAGAAGCCTACTGTGGTGCTTCTAATGCAACCCAGAGCTTTATCTTGTATCAGCCCTCAGAACACAGCCACTCTTTTCTGTTTCAGCTGAACGAGACACTGAGCATTTGGTGTAGGTGATTCATTTGTTTACCCGGAGCTGATTGCAGGATTTGACTGTCTTTCATAGTTCCTTACAGATGATTATAAATTAGGAGCACTGAATGACGTGAGTGGAGCAGCTGTCTGTTCATGAGTTTTTCCTGACACGACTGATGGAGATAATGAAGCTGAGCCCATGTACTTTACCAATCACATGCAACTGCATACTTTAAAGGTCACCTATTATGCAAATTGCACTTTTTGATGTATTTTATGCATAAATATTTTTCCCCGGTGTGTAAGGAGACTCACGAAGTGTCAGAAAATAAAACCCTCTCTCTTTTCCTCCTTACCGACATCTCTGAAAACAGGGGTACAATGGAGCTGATCCAGATTTACTGCGGTCATGACGTCATTACTAAAATGTGAGCTGGCTTTACGTTGAACACCTGGCAACATCCAGCCCACCCAACCTGTGTATCGTCCCCTATCAGAAACGTTTCTGTATCAGAAACAATGCGCGACGTGTTTTGGAAGTAATATGGTCTGTGTTTACATTAGCAAGCATCGCTAACAGTCAGAGCTAACGCTGTGCTGGAGAGAATATGTGTAAAGAAGCCGGATATAAAAAGGTACTCACCTTGTGGTAAACCTGAGAGAGAAAAAGCATTTGAGCTTCATACTGTTTCAGAAATAATGCTTGATTTTGGAACATAATATGGTGTTTAATCACGGCAGCGTTTAGCTGAGTTTCTGCCGGTGTAGGTACCATATCTGCACGGTCCGTTACGCTTACTAATGACGTCAGGCATTGGCTGTACGGCAATTTACACGGCCAAATTCCACAAAGAATATTAAAAAATAACAATCGACAGTGGATGTATGTTAGTGGAACTGTGTCCGGAAAGTGAAGTGTTAATTAAGTAATGTTATTGAAGAACTGAAATGCATAAAATTGAAAGTTAATATGTATCATATCTCTCCGAAATGGTATCTGGTGTTTCCATAGCAACAACAACTTCCTGTCAACAGTGTAAACTCCCACAGACAGTACACACGTTCATCCTCTGAATGTTATTTTTTAATATTCGTTGCGGAATTTGGCCGTGTAAAATGTCCTCTTGGGTTGCCGTACAGCCAATGCGTGACGTCATTAGTAAGCGTAACGGACCCCGTGCTAATCTGGTAGGCCGTGCATATATGGTACCTACACCGGTACCAGAGGTCGCGTTAACCGAATATTTTCCGTCAATGACGGATTTTTTCTAACAATGACGGAAAAATCTGAAAGCAGTCCGTCATTTTGACAGATTAAAACACAACTCGGAACAGCGCCAAAATGTCCACCAGCGGCCCACATTTTATTACATCCTTAGTGGCCAGGTAGACTGAGGGCGATCTACTGTACTCTACTGTAACTATTATTTAGTCATTCACACCCCTGTCCAGTTGGTGGCGAGTGTGTGCATATTAAGTAGCTATTGTCTAGTCTTGTTTTTGACCTCGTTGTTTAACCGGCTTAGTAATCGCAAAATGTCACGGCGGCTGATCGTCCGAAGCTTTTTTAATAAGCCCAGTAATTGTGATGGTGTGGATAAACGAGGTGAAAAGAGGGATTGATGCGGTGGAGGATGAAGGACAAGCCAGTAAGACTAAAACTGACAATGTTCAGCCAGCGGCAGAGGGGCAAGCAAGTGGCAAGGAGTTCAAGCGGGAGTACCGGGTTCAGTGGGAGCAAGAGTTTGAGTGGCTGA